CATTGGGTCTTCAAAAGATAAGGTTTCAGGAGTCTGGTTGTATTCGAATTCATAGGGTTGATCGTCATAGTAACAATCGTAGTAATTATCTGGATATTCTTCATGTGAAGAAAATTCTTCAGTATAATTAGGGGTTTCGTAATTTATACCATGTGCTCTATGTTGTTGGTTGGAATTAAAATTTGGATTTCTTTGAATGACAGAAGGTCTTGATTGGAATTGATTTGGTTGAGAGTTAAAATTTGGTCTGTTTGACTGAAATTGTTGGGGTTGATTATTAAAGTTTGGGTTAAATTTGGGAGTAAATTGGTTTGTCGATTGTGGTTGATTTTGATTTTGGTTAGGAATAAACCTTGGTGTAAAATTTGGGTTAACTCTTGGAGTATAATTTTGTGTAGAAAAGCGTTGAGGTGAGTTCTGGAAAGGTTTTCGAACTGTGTGTTGAGGTAATTTTGGTTGGTTTGGTTTAAAGGCGGTTTTTTGTTGGTTTTCAAAATAGGAAAGTTGAAGTTCACGTCGAATACGTTGGTGAGCTTCTAGCAAATCTTTAGGGTTGCTTGCGCGAACGATTTGACCTATTCGCGGATCTAAACCTGTTAAAAGAGTGTTAAGAGCCATTGTCTCTATTAGATCGGTTTGCGCTTTCTTTTGTTCATTAGATTGGTTGGATTTATTTATGTTTGCTTGCATTTTTGCGTTTAAGACCTGAAGTCTGTTAAAGTATGTTAGCGGGGATTCATTCGATAATTGTCTTAGTCTTTGTAAGTCCTGTATTAAAGAGGTTAAGTCGCGTGAATCGCCGAAGTGTAGATTTAAAAGTTGTTTTATTTCTAAGTATGAATTTGGGTTTCGAGAGCTAATTAATTGTGCTGCTTTGCCGCGAAGTTTGTTTTTAATGTGAATCACTAAAAGAAATCTTTGTGTTTCTGTACACATATTGTATGCACAGTCACATGCATTAAGAAAAGTACCGAGAAAGATTTGATCTCCCTCAAATTTTGGCACTATTGAAAATACTTCCGACAATTTATAATGTTCAATTTCATCTTGTAAATTGTCTGCGTTATCAGGATTTGGGTCTGTGTTAGGCATTGTTATTTAGATAACCAAACAGTAAAATATAAAAGTAAGGGGTAAAAACGAGATGATTCAAAATAGTACTTACAGTAATAAACTGCACTGCATTTATTCTTGGTACGCTGCTTGTCGTATTCTCGAGTTTTTCTACCAGGGGCTTCACCAGGTGTTCCTATCCGTAGAGTGACTGAGTTGGAGCTGAGCGATTTGTTCTTCGTATTATGGATTGGAATCCTCCACTGGGGAATTTTTCTTGTTCTCACAGTGTTACGAATCCTACCGTGGACTGCGCCAATTTGTTATCTTCACTTAATTAAAATTTACTTTTTAAAAAAAGATTTTTATTTATTACAATACATTAAAGTTCTAGTAAGCTTAGTTAAAATATAATGAATTAATTTTTGTGTTACATTTTGTTTTTATACTAAATATTGTTTTGCTGACTCCGTGGGATCGCCGCTTCTTGGTGTATCTCTTGGTAATATGAGAAATATGGAATGTTGGTGTTATCTTTGTACGTGCTGATAAGGTGTTTGTGGATGATATAACATATATATATGTATGTATACGTATCCCGCCACTGCACAGTGTGTTAAATTAATTATCTAGCTAGACAAAACCTAAATTATAAATTTTCTCTGTAAACGGGGTATTTGGGTTCACTGAATCCAAATCTGACATCCAAAATGCAGAAATTAAGTTATTTCACTACAAAATGGCCGGCGCCTTGCAATAAAAAATAAACTTTCTATTTAGTCGGAAATTGGTCAACTTTTTTGGTCAACGTTTTTCCAAAGAAACACCCTGTATATTTATGTATATTTGAAATATGGAGAAAATTTTGAATCCGATAGATGCACATTCGCTACCATTTTGCAATTGACCTTAAATTTTTGTCCAGTTTTATTTTTCAATCCAGAAAGCTGCAATTTGGAGAATCAATTAGTTTTATCATCCAAATTTGCAGTAAATGTATAAATGCATAAATAGTAAATGTTGCTGATGAATTATTTTTTTTAATTAACTCAACTGTTTTAAATACCATCAGAGTGGCTGCTTTTTAAATACATATGTTTTCCCCAATCAAAACCCACCAATGTCATAAAAATTCGTTTAGTGTTTTCCACGAAAATTACACTTATGGAAAACCTAAATTACAAAAAAAAATTAAGATCATTTTAAAATTCCCGCGAAAGTGTAAGTATCGAATTCAAAATTTTCTCATGATTTGAAATAAAAATATGCAGAGTATTTAATTGAAAAAACGAAAGTTGGCATTATTTCCGGGGAAACCGGAAGTTTTGTGGTATCCATTGAAGGTTATTATAAATTAACTCTTTATTAATAAATAAATAAATAAATTATTCCTTAACCTCGACAGCCAACTATTAGCACGTGTTGTTTCTGTGTTGGTAATCCAGGAAAAATTATTAGTTGTATCCAATCACCTCACTAACACTCTTATTCACAGCTAGATCACTTTTGGACTTAATCCAGGAGGAGGTTCCACAGGCTATTTGCACCCTTTTTGCACTTGGTTCTGGTAGATCACGTGTAGAATCATTAATTAATTTTTTGAGTTTGAACACCGATAGCGGTGGTAGCACTATGGAAGTACGAACGCGTTGGACCCTAGACACAAGACCGTTTGCCTTTAAGTGAGGAGCGTCACTTATGTATTCTTTAATTGTTGACAACTTTACTAACCTAAGCTGTCAAAACTTATAGGCAACTTACTTATGACACTGTTGATGAAAATTATGATAGAGAGTATACAAATTGCAGACAGACACTTCTATGGATTAATTTCAAAAATATCTTTATGCATAAACTATGTTATTTTACACTTATTGCACTAAAAACCCCAAAATTCAGTTTTTTCGACTTAATATGACACTGTTGTCGCCCATGTGCGATATATTTATTTAAATAAAACTATAATTTGCCTCTAGATTTTATTTCAATACATATATTCGCTATCATCTAAAAAAAGTTATGTTTTTATTGTAATATAAAGTACCTATTGTCATAATGGCCCAACTTTTAGGTGTATTTCCAACTTATAAGTTATTTTCACAGTAAACGAAAACGATAAAATACCAAATATGGGGAATGGGTTAAAACGATATTTTAACTATACTTACATAATAACTACCTATCCAAGCGACAAAAAAATAACGTAATAAAAACAAATTAAATACGATATATTTACGTAAAAATTACTTGCATGTCAGTCTCTTTCTAAACCTTTAATATATATATATATATATATATATATATATATATATATATATTTTGTCTTTTAAAAAGTAACATGTCCAAATAAACAATATTCACAAACATAATCAATTTTTCTTTTATTTACAAAAAAGTTATAGTCCTAGGAAGTTGGGTATACGACCTATGTAAAAAATAAATAAATCTAAAAAACTAATCTAAAGCCCTAAAAAATTATTTAATTTGAACAACTTTATAATGATTGGAAGATTACACAGTACGACAAAATTTCTACAGATTTTGAATATAGACTTAAAAAATGATACGCGTGTATCGGCGTTTTTTAGATCAAGTAATTTATTTATTTTTTAGTGCGATACAATAAAATGTTATCCACGGTATTCGGCACAGCTAGACTGTGTAGTTTAAAACAAAATTATTTACTGAATAAATAGACAACCATTAAAACTACATTTTAAAATTTTTAAATTTTATACAGGGTGTTGCACATTTATTTATTATTTTATTTAAGTGGTGTTTTTTAAGTTGTGATACTACTATATGTAGATTCTAAAGCAATATAATCGTCAAACTAAAAGACCAAGATTTTTTTCAAGATATACTGAACACAATATAAATATAAATCTGTTGTTTTATTTTTTTTTAAATCAAAAAATTTAAAATAGGAGTTATTTTTTTAAGTATAATTTTTGTATTATGTAAAAACATACAATATTTGAAGAAGAAAAATATGATTTATAACACGGGTACGTTTTTTTAACCTCTACATATTTTTAAAATTTAAATTTAAACTTTCATGGGAGGAAAATCGTCTTGAACTTTAATAATTTAATAAAGCAAAGCAAAGTTTTGTTATCACTTAAAGTTAATTTTTATAAGTCGTTATTTATAATTATATTTACGGTTATAAAGTGGTTTAAATATAGTAAAAACATGAGTATAATTTAGTTTACAGTGAAAATATTTACGTTAAATTTCCGTTAAAAATCCGTTCAAATAAAATAACCTATAACTTATAGGCTATAAGTGATTTCTTTTGTAAAAATTACGTAAAATATACATCAAACTTTATAAATTGAAGTAGTTATTATTAATATTACTATTACATAGCTTTTGGCAAGCCATTAAAGGATGTTATTTTCGAAAAAATTTTATTGAACATTTCAACTCGGATTCAACTTTAACATTCTTTAAGGGCACGCCATAAGGTATGTCTTATTTCAAAAAATAACATACTCCCGCCCAGCACCCTTTATTTCTTAAAAAGATTTTTTTACTTTATTGAGTTTTTAAGGTTAATTTAACAACATAATATGTATTAACAACATTATATTTACTTTAGTAGACTATTTAATAGCTTAATAATAATAGTAAATAGGTTTATACTGTCAACAAAATTGTTTTTAGGAAGACTTCATACTTTTTTACCTTAAAATAGAAAGATAGAAATACAAAGTGGAACGAGGATGGCTAGATTTTTCTCTTGCAATATATACCTCTCTCTTATACTTTACAATCGCCTATAAACTTCTTGTTCTTGCAATATTTTTTTTTATATTTACTTTAATATTTCCCGAGTATTAGTAAATATATTATACTGAATTAACAATTTGTTGTATATAAACCAATACGTAGTTTATTTCATTTAATTTAATTGTTTCTTAATTTATTCTTTTACATTTCAGGCTATCTAGAAGCACAAGTCTAATACAGCTGGCGCAAATGCACAACAAAAATTCCTCCGATAAAGAAAACGCAAAGGTGAGATTTATTTATATGCAGTACAATAAGATACGATCCATTAAACACGTAATTAGTTGCTTGCTACTAATTAGCACTTACAAGAATTAATTGTAATAAGATATCTTTGAAATAATTTTACGTAATAAATGAATGGCCATACTTTTTAGTCCTTTTTGTTTTAATGCATGAAAGTTTCACAAATTAAACTTGAAATAATTATTTTTCTAAAATTTAAAACATTGTTAATAACACTGCAGTGTTAGACCATGGTCTAAAAATTTTGTAACATTATATTATTATAGTATTAGGGTGTCCGATATTTCCTGGCTTTTTTTATTTCAGTATCATCTTAATTATTTGTTTACATTCTAAAGGCCTTTCCATCTCCTTATTCAACTCTTATACAATCTTTATCACTAGAGAAAAATTCTTATCAATAAAAATTTCTCCTGGCAACGCGTTGGTTATGACTACCATTGTGATTTTTTTCTTATGCAAGTTTTAATTTAAAAAAAACCTCGCCCAAATAGTGCAAAAGTGCTTTTTAAATAAAAGGTATTTATTTATTTAGGCAACTACGAAAAATTCAGAAAAAAACTTTGAACTTCAATATCATTTAAATGTATGGTTTATCGAAAAAAACGTAATAGACCTTTTTGTAGTACGTAAAATGTCCTAGAAAATATCTTGGGTATTGATGCATGCCTATTTATTAGCAAGTAAAAAATTACAAAGTTATTTTTAGACTGTAAATAAATATATTATTAATAATTAAGTGAAAAAACAAACAAATTGGGAAATAACGGGCACCTTAATTTTTTTTTTTATTAAGTATTATATTTATTATATTATATTATTGTAACGTTTTTATCGGTTCGCAGTGTGAATAAAAACACGCACTGTTTTATTATCGAACTAAACTATTTATTTATAACTTAATAACACTTAACTACGGTTTCGCGAAAGGATCGAACGGTCGATTTGCAAGGGTTCAAGAAATCGATTCAAACTTTTTTACCATATTTCTACATGTAAATGCAGTACTTTTTTCAAAAAAAAAATCTCCTCCATTGACAACTTTGTTTTTATATTTATTTTTTTCTTCATTGTGTTAAAAATGAAGAAATTTTATTTTTTTTAAATAACTTTTTTATTTTAAAACGTATCGATTTGAAATTTGGACAAAATGTAGATCTTACTAATGACAATTCTTCTATTTAAAAATTTTGTTTAGATTGTAACGTACAGGGGGCGCTGGTGATAATTTAATTTAAAATTTAACAATTTTTAAAGGGTAAATAATCGAAGAAGCAACATTGTTTTATAAATTTGAGTATAACACGTTAAAGTATTGATATTTGACTATTATTTAATATATTAACTTTTTTATGCAAATGATGTTTCTGTGGCCAGGATCAGTTTTTAATTAGCAGTAGCAGTATTCATAAATGTTTAGTTTGGTACATTTTGTCATTTTTATACTAATATTGTTGTATCTTTTATTAATAAATAAGTATAGCATAACATATAAATGAGTTTAATATACAGGGTGTTTCACGTAAGTAATCCGTTAGAAGTTTCTGGGGAATCGCGAAAGTCATCGGTTTAAAATTTTAATAGCGTAAACTATTCGATTTAGACTTTAGTGTGCCACTAATATACGTAATTATTTTATATACAGGGTGTTCCACATTCGTGGTCCATTATAAGTTTCTAGGGAACGGGAAAAAAATCTATTTGAAATTTTAAAAGAGTTTATAATCCATTTAAGTCTATTTTTCTAAATTATTTTGAACAAAATAGTACTTCCTGTTTTACCGGAAATGTCTTTAACTTTGTTATTGTAAACAGTAAACCTCATCCATTTTTACATTTTTTATTTCTACATAAAATTCTTAATAAAATGGCTATACGATATCCTATAGGTACCCAAAGTCAATATTTCTCGAGTTACTAATTTTTCAATCAAATATTTTAATTAATTTTAAACAATGGATTTGGTGGTAACCATGAATACTATCACATTAACCCACATGTATAATTTCACAGGTTTGTTGATACAAAATAGTATTAAAAATATTAGAAATTGTTAAATGTCTCTGAAATTTTAACTTTGAGAAACAGTTATTATAATAGCAATCGAAAGATTTTTTAATTTTTTTTTAAACATACAGGGTTTTACATTTATAATAAAAACGTTATTATTGTTTGAACTTTGCCCAATTTTAAGTGTTTTTTATTAAGCTATTTGTTGAAAAACCTTTAAAAAATTATTTAAACAATGTTTTAATATTCCAAAAATTCTAACCCCATGTCAGCAAACCTAATAACAAAAAAATTATATGCTATTTTTGATTAACGTGAATTTAGCAAAATTTTAACAAAAAAAAAATAATATCTTGAAAACTATTAATAATGGTATAGTCTATATCAAATTGTATATGCTATTAAAATATCAAATCTATATCTTTTGCGTTTCTTCAGAAACACCCTGTATGGCATTATAATAAATATAAAAAAACGCAAAAGCAAAACTTAATATAAAAAATAGACAATAAATAGCCAATTGCAACATAAAAAATAAAGTCTTTATTCTAATTTATTTATTGGGTAAATATTACTTTCCTCAGTTTGAAATGAAAATTAAAGCTTGCTTATCGAGTAAAAAATAAATTGAAGCTTGGTTGTGCAGCAAAAAATAAAATTAAAGTAGATATAAGTAGGTTATTATGTCTAACTTGCTGACACTGTCTATAATTATTATTTAGTTTATTAATTAAAAAAAAATTAATGTTTTGAGTTTATAGTACACTTATAAATTGAAAGTCATTTGCAACTTATAAACTGAACTGTCAAATTATATTTCATGCTACAATTGTAGGTTACCATAGAGAAAAGTCTACGATGCATACTATGATCAAAATTAGTAAAGTTGAAAAAATTTAAAATTTATAAATAAAAGTAATTTTAGCTCCATCTATGGCGACTTTTTAAAATAAATTTGTAAGAATTGTATTTTATATATAATATATTATATGTAATATATAATGTATAATATGTAATATACAATACATAATCTTATAAAACTAGATAAAAGAATATATACTTTGTAAAACACGTTAGTATTATGCCCTTTGAAGGCCCAACTTAAAAATGACGTATGTCGTAGAAACATAATTTGCATATAAAAGTTTATATATCAAATAATAGTTAATTATCAGTACTTTAACGTGATATACTCAAAATTATAAAACAACGTTGCTTCTTCGACTTTTTAACCCTTAAATAATGGTAAAATTTTAAATTAAATTGTCCCCAGCGCCCCCTGTATGGTAAAATCTAAAAAAAATTATACGTGGATTTATTGCCACTAATAAGGTCTACATTTTATCTTAATTTCAAATCGATACGTTTTTAAATAAAAATGTTATTACAAAATATCGAAATTTATCTATTTTTAACACAGTAGAGTGACTTAAGGCCTAAAACCCACGGTGGTCAATGGATACAAAATTTTTTTTGAAAAAAATGCTCCATTTAGATGTAAAAACAAGGTTAAAAAAATATATTCAATTCTGGCATCACTTGCAAACAAATGTCCAAAATTTGTTCGATTTATACGCGAAACCATAGTTAAAACACTAAGAAACTATAAAACTAACTAAACACTTAACTACTAATTTTTTATATATCACTACTGTACAAGAATCTATTTATTTGCACGTATATTTATTTTATTTCGTTGCGAGTACCAAAGCTCAACTGACTGCTCCATGCTTCGCTGTGCCTTATTATTCAGTGCGTACGTGACACTAGTCACGCAAGCGCCTTCCCGAACATTCCAGCGAGCTCCGGTGTGCTCTCGATCGCTCGAGCGCTGTCTCACCGGCGATGAGTCATCATTCCGAGATCCAGAGGGGTACTCGCTACATTATGTATTATGTTACGCTGAATTCTAACCCAAAATTAGATAATTGCAGTTTTTAAAATATCTTTTCTCCTCTTCAGAAAATTTTGGATATAGGTAAACGAAATGACAATTCAAATTTTTACCCAAACCGAATACATAAATTTTAACTAATGATTTTTCGTAGAGATAAAACGATACTAAAAAAAATGATTTTTAGATTTGGAAAAAAAATTGTTTTTTCGAATTGAGTTGAGTTTTTTGAGGTTCCGATATATTTCAGTATTTTAATAAATCAATTCCCATGGAAACTAAATTTCATTATTTTGAAATAAAAATTCATTTTAAAAAAATTATTTAGTTAACTATACGAAAGTGAATTAGGTTGCTCATTTTTCTCTGATTTAACTAGAAACATTTTCGAAAGTTTTATTGGCTGCCGACCAATGCTGACTGCAGCTGAAGCTAATGCCGACCAACAGCTAATTTATTTGAATATACATAGTAAACAAAAGAGTTTACTCATTTATTCTGGTAAGACTTAGGATTATTCGGATTTTTACCTTACTTAATATATATATATGTATATTAGGGTGGTCCAAAAAAGTGAAGTTGATTTTACAGATTGTCTCACCCCCCAATTATTTTACCTCCAACATCAATAAAAAATTCCCAAAATTTTAGGCCCCTAGGTGTATTAGAAGGGAGTGCTCATTAGCTAAGAGATTTCAGTTTTTTTTTTAATTTATTTAAAAAAAAAATTACGCCATCTTTTTACTGGTTAGATAAAATGTTATGCCCTATATATTAATGTTACAATTACCAAAGAATATTATTTACCTAAACATATATTTCTTACACACTAGTTCAATCAGCTAATCCCGCACCTTTCCCTAAGAAACTAAAAACTACACTTTACAGTTTAAATGTCATAAGTGCTTTGGATAGGAAAAATGTCTCAGACCGTGAAGTTCTAAGGCTTATAGTACAGATTGCGATAGCACTGGGAAAAGATCCGCATGAAATGCCGTCTCGCAGCACTATTTGCCGGAGACGAAAACATGAAAGGAAGAAAAGATATGAAACAAAGTTTTTCTTGTCAAGGTTTAGT